CTCACCAGCACGGCTCCCGAGCGAGCCCTTGCCGCGGTCTCGGCACTGATGCTGCCTCTAGCCTCCAGCTCCGCTAGTCTTTGAGAGCTGCTAAAAAATTGCCCCCGTCTCCTATCCGTGCCTCCCACGCGAGGCGCTAGGGCGGGATGAGCTACTTCGCATTGTTCACCACCTTCGCAATCTCGCGCTCGAGCGGGCCCCTGGGAGCTGATCCATGCACTGCCGTCGCGCCCTCGTACTGGAGCACATTCATGATGTATGGACGGCACGCCAGTGCCAGCTTCGTGTCCTTGTTGAAGTTCGTGATGACCAGGCACTGCTGCTCCACGCCCTCCTCCTTGCGGAGCGGCTTCAGCCTGAAGTAGAGCACCGCTTCCGCGATGGTCTCCATCTCGCTCGAAACGATCGTGTTCTCCCACACCTGCTTGGCCTCGAGCGCGTTGGTCCTCTCTCCGTCTTGGCCCTCTGCCGCCGTGCGCTCCGCCACGTACTGGAAGGCCGCCAGGAACACGTGAATGTGCGGAGGGCCTCGCTTCTTGAAGTGCTCCTGCGAGGCGCCGGACTCCTTCGTGGCCTTGCTGCCCTCCTCGTATTTCTTGCCTGCCGCCTGCATGGCCGCGGGGAGCCCCCGCGAGAGGGGCATCATGAAGGTCACGTAGACCACCGCCGCCAAGTCGGCCACCGCGCGAGCCTGTGCCAGCACCAAGCGCCCAATGGCCGTCACCAACTTCATCAGGTCGTCCTTCTCGCCTTTCTTGCCCCGCTTGGCAGCGGCGCCCCCGGCCGCGCCCGCCGCCGCGTTGCCGCCTGTCCCCGGTGTCGGAAGGCTGGACCACGACGGCATCTCCAGCGGCATCTGTTCCAAATGCTCGCGTAAGATGCGCCGCCGGCGCTTGCTGCAACGTCGACGGTAGATGGCTGAGGAGATGGCTACAGTGGGCTGGGAGATCCCCCGCTCCATGTCCACACAGCGGGCACTTCAGGGACTTGGGCTCTCTGAGGGTCTCATTGCTCCGCGGCGTGGCCCCCAAGGCTCCTCTGTCGCATCTCCCTCTCCGAATCGCCGCCTGCAAGTGACGCGCGGCCGTGATGCGAGTCTTGAAAACCTGTCGGCGCCCGATGCAGATATTCGTCGGTGTCAGCACATGCGCAAGATTGTGGAGGTGGTGTTGTTGGGTTATATGTTTGAGGAGAGAGGTCTGGGTAGAGAAACAAGCCCCACATAGCTCCCCCTCGTCAGTCCGCACTTCGCATCGAAAAGGCCCTTCCTCGCCCATCCCATCCGTCGGCGCATGCAGCCCTCCAGCATCGGGCCCACTTGAAGCAGTGGTAAAGACGGGAGCGGCGCAGTCCACAACCTGACCTCTGCTCGAATTCCGTTCCGATGCACCCTCCTGTTCCCACGTCGGCGGCGGGATCTGCACAGCATTCAACGCTGCGCGCAACCTCCCAAAATCCAAGGCCGTGAATTCTGAAGACCGCTCCACATCCGCAAAAATAGTAAAGTCCTCCAAAATCTCATCCAGGCTGCAAGAATCCATGATCGGGGCCGCAGCCCACAAGTCCGCTTCCATCTGGCGAAGCCAAGGTGAAGCCGAAATCGACGGCCTCCCCCTCACAAGCTGCGGTACAGTCGACTCGTGTTCGCCCCTCAGTACCCCGAAGAGTGCACGCAAAGGTTGTACATGCCCCGTCGGATTGCGTGCCCAAGACTGATACCACTTAAGCCTCCTAATACGAAGGTCAACACGACTGCCCGAGAATCGCCAGTAACGCAAGACCTCAGGAGTGGTCATACTCACCCTGTGTCCGGTCGACGTTTCGGCGCACGCGTCCCCTAGCATCGCCGTCCTGCAGAGGGCCGCCAAACAGCCGTCCAGCTTGCTATAATCCGGCGACGTCAACACGAAAGGTTCAAGCCCACTTAAGAGAGCGTTGCCCACGAGGCCCTGCAGGAGCTCCCTCCGCCACTTATATGGCAGGCCCACCGACCACACCCCTCCCAAGCGAAAGAAAGCCTGCCGAGCCGCATCGCACCTCCGAGGGATCTCGTGGTGTCCTGTAGACAACATATTAATAAAGGGGCCCAGGTATCGTGCACACTCTCGTACCTTGCCCCGACATGGCAGGGACCCCTGGGCGGACCGCTCTCTCAGGATCGTCTTCGCAGGCCTAGACTGACTCGCAAAGTAGAAAAGCAATTCTTGTTTATCAGCGTTTTGACCGTAGCCGTACATCCCCAAGAAGTCGTCTAGCGTCTCGTCGACCCAACTTAGTTTATGTAGGAAGTCTGAAACCGTGTTCCCAGGATCGGCCACCACAAACTTGTTTAGATCGTCCGCGTATTTGAGTAGACTTAGGTCAACTGATAGTTGTTGCCAGCTCGATATTAAAACCTTGGCCGAACGGTCGTGCGTAAAAACGTGGTGTCCCCATGCTGTTGTGGCCCGTCCGAAAGTTCCCAGGAAACCCTGCACGGTGAACGGGTCCCCCATCACACCTCCGCACCTAGGACGTACGCAGAACGGGCCGTCGCACGATTCCAACTCGATGATCGCATTCCTGTACCGTTGTCTGCACAAGTCGGCATCGTATGGGGAGGCACACAAAGATACTGTCGTATCCAGCTCCGTCCATAAGGAACTCGAGAAGGCATTGCTGAGGTCTTTTAGTGACATGCAGTGGGTACGGCCCATCCGTCGTAGTCTCCAACTCGTCACTTGTGCTGTGAATATGGCGTCCTCCCTCCTCCCCTCTCTTACAAAACCATGGTCTTGGGCCGTCGGTGTCGCTTGTAATTTGGTCGCAAAGAAAGCCTTGCCCAGCGTCGGAAGGACGTGGATCACTCTCTTGCCCCGTGGCCCTCGCACATGTGATTTGTGCAGGCCTACCCCCCGTGACTTATTCCAGTAAAGCGGGATTTCTCGATGCTCACGGATTTTGTACAAGCCCAGCTCAATTAGGAACCAAAAAAATGGTGTCCTAGGCGTCTGTCCCGTGTTACCCACCCCCCTGCGTTGTCGTACCCTGTAGTTTGGCCATAATAGTTGTTGCCACAATTCCAAAGGAGCCGTGCCGACGGGAACTGCTCGTCGCTTCGGCGCTCGTCGCACGTATCGTCGTATCGCACGCAAGTCCTCCTTAGCCACCTCCTTCGTCTCCTCCGACTCCGTCACACCATAGCCGCCCCCCATGTCCTCTCTGCTGCTCCTCCACTCATCCCACTCACACTCCTGCACCTGCATCCCTCCATCAGGTCCCGAGAGCGACCACAGCCCGAGCCATTCGGCCCGGCTTGGGAGCATGCCTCTAACCAGGCGTCCGTCCCTCTTCTTCGCTCCGTATCTGCAACTGGCCGCGCGCCTGGCTAACTTCATGCCCTCAGAGACATACCCACACCCCCATCGCTCTCTAGCTTCCTGCAGCAAGGTAGCACGTCGTTCCCTCTTCTGTGACCGGCGTAACAGAAACAGCTCGTGGGATAACTGCTTGAGTTCAGTATCGAGGGCGGCCACCTCCTCTCGCGAAGCCCCCAACTTGTCCCCTCGGAGGTCGGCCCGTCGTGCCAAAAGCGATCTCCTACGTGCTGACGCGGAGGCTGGCTCCTGTAGTAAATTGGCCCCAGGATCGGGCCCCGTTGGAGCAGGGGTAAAGACAGGGGCGGCCCGGTCAACCACCTGACCTCTGCTCGAAATGGCGTGGTGATGTCTCCAGTCCGACTTCATTCCAAAACGAGCCTGCCCCGCCCTCACAATGGCCCGCTCCAAATGCTCAAATATCTCATCTGCCGAGGCCTGATCCCGCATCCAGGGTAAGTGGGTTGAGCCTTCCAATTCCCTGTTGACCTGTTCCAAAAAAACGTCACGGTTTTTCCCTTCACGCACCGCCTGCATCATAGCATCCTGGTTCCACCGTTCTCCCCTGCCAGTCTGCCGTGCCTCGTGGTAAGCCCCATGCTTGTCATAACGCAGCACACACACAATGGGCAAGTGGTCCTTGGGGGGGCAACCCCCCAGGGCTTGTAAACGGGCGCCCAGGCGATCGTGCGGGCGGCACACACATATCTGACTGCTAAACCCCTGCGGCACAAACACATAGTCGATACGAGAACTCCCCGTCATCCCGAAGAAAGTGGGCTCAGGGCCCGTGCCTCGGAAAGTATTCGCAGCACACAGAAATTGTGTCTCCAACAATTGGTAGATCCGTGCCCCTGCCCCCTGAGGTAGCCGTTCTCGACTGGGAGTCCCTACTACTGAAGTGTCCCGTGTAACCCACGCCTGACCGTCGTGCCATAACCCCATGCCGTCATTGAGGTCGCTATACACCACCGGCATACAACGCACAGGTAACTCCGAGAGCACATCCGACAACCACTTCGTGAGGATGTCGACCGTTTTGAAGTAGTGAGCCCGTTGAGCCCTCTTCTGGGGTTGGGGCGGGTAGTACACCACAAGCGCACACACATCGACATTGCTGTATTTAACCCGTACTCCCAAGGCCCTCCCGGGGGCCGTGGGCGGGGAAGGCCAAGTCTGCACAATACTATTCTGCTCCACCGCAGGTCCCAACCCAATCGCACATCCACACGAGCTGTTTGCGTGTTGGGCCGTCGACGTCGGCGCTTCCAATACCCACCTCCCCGCAATCCTCGTCGTCATAACTGGATTCCCCGAGTGTGTACGCTGTCGTGTTCCCCCCAGCAATACCAAATCAAAATTCCTCGTCTCCTGCATAATATCCTCCATTCGGTTTCGCGCTGCATGAAGAGGATTAAAGCCGAAGATACGAAGGGACGTCATGAGAGCAGAACATCAACCCCCGCCAGGCAAGGCGGGCGAGAACCTCCGCTATGGTACCCGTACACGAAACTGTGTTGGGTGTCTGGCGTGCCTCCTGGGACGGTCCTTCCTCGGGCCAGGGAGGCTGGAGGAGGAGGAGGAGGAGGAGGAGGAAAGGGAAGACTCAGGAGCAGAGGAAGGGGGAGGACGAGCAGGAGCGGC